TTCCTATTAGCATTCATGGGAGCTATGCAGCTCCAGTCTTGTTCATCAAGTTTGGAATATACGCTTTTGTTATTGATGGGAAAATGTCACCAGTTACAAATGGTTACACACAGGGGTGTAGAAGGGTCAAAGCAAACTCCAATACTTTCTTTCCCCTTCTAAGGCAGAGTGCTGCTTCAGCAGTTCTTTTTTTGACCTGATGGCACACCTCTGTAGATAAAAGAAATGGTGAAATTCTCTGCTCCTGATCTTTGCTGTAGCCTCACCACCCAAAGATTAAAGAAAACTTCCAAAAGGATATTCCTTTAGTGGCTTGTGATAGGACAACCATTAGACACCACTGCAGGCATCCTTTTGTATGAAGTCTGACTTCAAATTCCTCTACAGATCCACCCACAGCTCTGATGAGTCTCATAAAACAGTCTTTCAAATGCATGAATAGGGTCTGAGTCATCAGTTTCCCAGCTACAGATAACTGCAGTTACTTCACTTCTATTACTGAAAGCTTCCTTTAAAAAAAAAAATGGAATTGCTTGACGCTGCAAATATTCCTTGCCAGATATGGCATGACACTTAATAGATGAAATCCTAAATCACTAAGTTAATTTTTTTTCAAATTGAGATCCCACAAGAAAACTTTGGGTTTATGGGAAATTACTTCAATTCTGTCATCTTCAACATTGCTCTTTCCAGAAATACAGTTGTGGAAGGTTCATTCTAGTCTCATTTAGCACCCCCCCCCGCCCAAGAAAGACATTACATAATTCTGGGGCTCCTACAAATATGTTCACACATTTGTCATGTAATCTGACTATCCAAGCTTGTCTTTGCTTCATAGTGCTTCTATGTGAGGCTGTATCTAAGCCTTCAGTACAGCTGTGCTAATCAGTACAAGCTGTGCTTCTGACGCACGATAAAAATAGAAAGCTTATTCCTGAGCAGGCTTTGATTGAGGAGATGCTATGAAAGAAAAAAATTGCCTGTCTAGGAGAAATCACACTGTTCACAGTTAATTACACCTGAAACACTCAGCAAAGAAAATGGTATGTGGGTCCAAGTGTCAAGAAAATACCCTCAGCTAGGCTAGTAAATGGTTTAGAAAGTGTCAGGGCTTGTAAGAAACTTTGGTTTGAGAAAATTCTAACTACACTATGTGTCCACCGGGCTATTTCAACAAATGCAGAATAAAAAAGCCTGAAAATTAGCTTTGACTAAGTAGGCTCAACTTTCTGCAGGAATGAAATCACATTTAAATGCTCGTTCTATTCCATGCTTCTTCACAAAGGACAGTGATCATACCTGCATGAAGTGGCCAGCTTGTTGCTTTGTGCTGACTTCTGTACTTGAGACTATTTCTACTCTTTCAGGCAAACCTCTATGCTCTTGAGAGAAATATACTGCTCTTGTTGATGCAATTTGGCTAGGGAATTGGGAAGTATTGGGAATACCTTTATTTTAACTGATCCATCCCTCATCCACAACAGAATACTATTTTAAGGTAGATACAGATAAATATATGTATGTGTGTGGAAGACATATAGATATATAGATATAGATAAAAAATAGGCTGAGATAAAAGAACACAATGTATACCTTCACAGTTTGCTTCACAGTACCTGGAAATGTGGCTTCAATTAAGCTTCTATGAGTGTGAATGTGACACTTAATAGAGCTACACAATTGCTGGATCGTATTTTTAGGTCCTCAAACTCAAGTAATCTAGTTTTCAAAAGCAAAGCTACAAAAAAAAAATCTGTCCTTTTTAATGTCAAACACATTTCTAACCACTTTGGTTGTTTAGGAAAATCTGGAAACATTGTATAGCAAGGCTCAAAAACAAACGAAAAAAAACCAAACCCTAATTTAAAATTATTTTAAGATTAGATTTAATCTATTTAGGAACCAGACCTGCAAATACATTACTCTTCAACAATTGTTTTCCAATATATTTAGCCTGACCTTAGAGCTGTCAGGTTTTTTTAAGGAACAATGTTCTTGTTCCTGCTGTAATCCAAAACTTCCCTTTAAGGCTGTGTCAGGAGAAAGACAGTAGATCAAATTTACTAGTTAGGCTAGGATATCCGCCTATTGCCTCAGCACCCCAAAAGCTGCTGACAGTCCTTTAGGGAAAAAAAATATTCTAATAGGGAAGTAAAGTTGAAATATCTACAAGGTTTAATTTGTGGTACCTCTCTTGTGAGCAGTATCTATCAGCGCGGGCTGCGTTTCTGTACCTCTGCAGCACTAGTGCTGAGGGGACAGATGTGAAGGGATATAAAGACACTGCCCGGGTGTTTCTGGGGGTGCAGCAAGGCGAGAAGAGCCAGGGGGGACTAAGAGATACAGAGCGTGGAGAGGATCCGCGAACCCTCTTTCTGATCCAAATACATTGCAACTTCGTGTATCTGAGCAGAGTCCGTTTCTCCAGGAGGATCAGCAAGATCATACGGGCGGCTCGAGGGGGAGGCGGGGGTGAAGCGCTCCCTCGCCCGGCAGCGCCGGCCCCGCGCTCCGGCCTCCACTGCCGAGCGCCTCGGCCACAGCGCTCCCTGGGCCGCGGCGGTGCGGCGCCGGGCGGAGACCTACGGGGCAGC